GTGCTGGACTGAATTTTTTTGGGGTACTGGGGATTGAACTGGGGACCTTGCGCTTGTGAGGCGGGCAGCGGAACTACTGAGCTAAATCCCGGGCCTCGGGACTGAATGATTTTTAAATTCACTTCCAACTGTAACATTGCATGAGTCTTTGAGTTTGGCATACAGGAAGGTAAGTATGGGTTTTATGGAAGATATGTCTTTGAAGAAATGATTATGCAAGAAGATGTTTATGAAAGTCTTAAAACTGATTTTGTAATTAGAAGATTAATTTCAGACATATATATGAATATTATTCCATTCTTCTGTTTTTCAAAATGCTTTCTGCATATAGTACAGATTTTAATATATGCCTGAAGAGAGAAGTTAATGAACTACATAATACTTCTATGTATCCATAAACTTGCTATTTATTTTATAAGAAAAAATTTAATAAAAATGTGAATAATCAACTACCGTGGTGCCTGGGTTTATGAACTTAATTTGTTTTGCAATTTGAGAGAAGATGGCTGCGTTTATGTTTGTGTGGAGAAGATGGCTGTGGTCATGTTTGTCACCCAATGCGGTGTTGGTGAATGGAAGCAAAATTTTGCCAAATGCTTTTTGTTTGGAAACTGAATTGTTTAGAACAGAAGTGTTAGTACCGGAAGCATTAATGTATTCATTTCCTTATTCACACACAGATACACTGTTTCAGCCTCATTTTACCAACTTTTGGAGCTGTCTGGCATGAGTGAGCCTGGGGAGCTCTGCTCTTTCCCCCCTCAAGGACACGAACCCCACTTCGAGTGTGTGCCTCCTGGCCATCTTTAGATCTTCTCTGAAGAGACGTTTGTTGAGGCCTTTGCCCAAGTTTTGATTGGGTTGTATCTTTGTTGTTGAGTCATAAAAGTTTGTTATGTATATTCTGCATAGTAACCCTTATCAGACATATGGTTTACAAATGTCTTCTGCTATATATTGTCTTTATTTATTTATTTTTTGAGACTGGGTCTTGCCATGTTGCCGAGGTTGGCCTTGAACTCCTGGGAACTAAGAAGGGTGCTGCCTCCGCCTCCTTAATAGCTGGGATTGCAGGTCCATACAACTATACCCAGCTAGGTAGTCTTTTCACGCCTTTGAGAATGGCCTCTGATGAGGACAATTTTAAATTCTGATGAAGTCCATTTTATCTATTTTTTCTTTTGTTTCTCATGTTTTTCATGTCATATCAAAGAAACCATTGCTAAATCCAAAGTCAAAAAAGATTTACCCGTACATTTTCTTCTAGGTGTTTTGTAGTTTTCACTCTTGTATTTAGGTTGCTGTCCATTCTGAATTACTCTTTATATATGGTGTGAGATAAGGGTCCAACTTCATTCTTTTGCATGTGGATATCTACTTGCTGCAGTATACATACATACATACATACATACACACATTTTTTTCCTAGTACTAAGAATTGAATCCAGGGCTTTTGCACACAGCTGCATCCCCAGCCCTTTTTATATTTTCAATTTTGAAGCAAGATCTCATCAAGTCACTAAGTTGCCCAGTTTCAAACTTGTGATCCCCCTGCCTCAACCTCCCAGAATGCTGGGATTACAGGCATGTGCCACTCCACCTGACTCCAATACCATATTTGAAGAAATTATTTTCAGCTCCCTGAGTGGTTCAGGCAATCTTAGATAAATGGGAGGAAGACACTCTTAAATGTGAGAACTTTGGCAAATCACTTAATCTTGAACTTTTATTTCCTCACCTAGAAAGTGAGGATGGTAACCTCTTTATCTCAGAGATCTTTCTAGGATTAAATGAGATCACGTGTCAGCCACAGCACCTAGGACATAGTAGGTTCCCCAGTGAATGTTAACTCTTCCTTCTCTGCAATGAATACAATCAGAGTGAGCAATGTACCATCTGTCACACCAGGACACAAGAGATCTTAGACAGATACAAGTGCAGGCAAGCTAATTAAGTAGTGGTCAGTCTTTAATAATTTAGTCAGTATTCAGCAAATACTTCCTCTTGCTGATGTGTGAGAATCTCTTCTAGGTCTTGGAGCTACACAGGAAAGGTTGCCCCTGCTTTCCCAGAGCTTAGTCCAGAAGCAGAGACAGATTGTTAAACAGTTTCCGAATGGTGCAGGAAGTTCTGAGACAGAGTCAAGCAGACAATGCAGGAAACAGAATTCAAAGAAGGCTTCTAGGGGAAAGTGACACTTGAGCTGGGTATTAAACGACCTGAAGGCAGGATTATGCAAGGCGGGGTGAGAAGGAGAAATGTTTGCACAGGAAATATCAAATACAAATATTTACACAGCCATTTGGGAGCTGTTAATGATCTTTAAACAGGGCAGTGCCATGGACAAATCTGTATTTTAGAGGCAGATAGGGAGACCAATGGGGAAAATGGGTAATTGGGAAGGGGAGGAAGTGGAGGAGGATGAACTCGGTGAGAATGAGAAATGTAGTGAGGATGGAGAGAAGGGGGCTTTAGGTGGATTTATGACAAATCAGATATGAGAGCATGGGAGAGGGCTTAGGACAGTGGTGGTGAACCTTTTAGAGCTTTCAATAACAAACAGCTTGCTGTGGCACACGTGCCATAGGTTCACCACCACTACCATAGGACGAGTCTCAGATTTCTGCCTCTGGAAACTTGGGCCAAGAGACATTCACCCAGGGAAGGACACAGGAACAATGAGCAAAGTAAGAGAAGAAAAAAGTGGTGTCTGCTGGCAGATGGGTCCCAGTGGAGGGGTTGAGCAGGCAGACTATGTGGGACAGGAGTGCAAAAGAGGGTTTGAGTGGGAACATGGATTAATCGAAAAAGCACACATTTCCTGACCAGCCCACTGAAGTGACAAGTGGGTTTTGTTCTTAACAATTAAAATATGAATGAGTTTTATTTTAATATATAAATATTTTATTGTTAGTATATGTGGTACATAATAATTGTACTCACCTTAGGGAACTGTTACATATATACACATCACAATCTTGACCATTTTTATTCCCCTTCCCCGCTGCCCTCCCCTTGTGTTTCATTTTAATACCAAAATAATAAAAAGTATAGTTCATAATCTCACTGCTCACATAACTCCTGTTGGAAGGAGGATATATCGTTATGTGTATGTTAGAAAATACAAACAATGTAGAAAAGTATAAAAAATGAAAAGTGCAGGCTTCCCCCAATTCCCCTAATGACTGTTAACAGTTTTCTTCTGACTCCTTCTCTGAAAAATAATGGATATTCTGAGTATCTCCCAAGGGGAACTCCCCGCACCGAGCAGATGAACCTTCTCATCACTTTGATGGGCTTCACGAGCCCACCTCTCCTGATGGGGTGGACCTGGGAGCCCACTGAGGAAGGCACAGTCCCAGGGTTCTTAGCTCAGGAATGGTGGCAGCACAGGCTAGGTTTACAGTACAGAATATCTTAATGAACTGTTGCTGCATTTGGAAATTTGGAGAACCTTTCTGCCTGCTGGTCCAGTCGGTTAAATGACTCATTCATCAAATGTTTTCAGGGTCCCAAGTAAATGTGCATAACTCTATGGTGTGTGTGTGGGGGTGGTGGTGCAGGCACCTGGTGGCACTGTTGGAGGGTTGGTGAGTTACTCTTGGTGCTTTCTACTTCCCCTCTCCTGCCATAAAAGTAGCAACAGTTTCCAGCTATAAATCCCCAGACCCAGGAGAGCCCTGAGATACCTATGCAGCCCTTGGCCTGTGTGTTCCAGGCACCGTGGTTGACACCTGAACATATTAGGGGCAGAGTGGATGGCACAGGAGGAAGAGCACTGGTCTTGGGGTCAAGAAGCCTGCACCCTGGGGCCAGGTTTGCCACACTCCACCTCACAGCTGCTAGCCAGTGACACCCTCTCCTCCGAATGTGGGGTGAGTCTAACCCAAACTCCAAGGGCCTTCCTACTATCGTTGCTTTTTGTAAGATAATTGTGTTTAGCAAGTCATAGGACATCAAATTTTATGATTCTTAAAATCATGTTTTCCTCAAATTCTGGAAATGCTGCTCAGGGTGTCTTATCCTTTTAGAATCCTGTGCTGTGAACCCCACCTGTGTGCAGTAGGAAGGAGCTCGATACTTTTTTCAATTTGAGACCAAGGTCAAAGAGACCAGACCACAAAAAGAAGCAGGGCAGGACCCCTGGGCAGTCTAGATACCAGCACACGGTGCTCAGGGGAGGTATGGAATCCAGAGCCCTAGATGACTTGCAGAATCCATTTCAGGGTGAGCGGTGCTGGATCCTTCAATACCCCTGACAGGAAGGCCAGGCCCAGGTGAACACCCCTACTTGTACAGGAGGAAACTGAAGCTCACAGAGGGGATCTGAGGCGCATCCAGTCGCCAGGAAGCCTTATTAGCCCAGCACTCTCTCCTACGAGTTGGTCTGGCCTCCTCGCAACACTGCCGCCTGAGGGGGGGGTCCCCGAAGCAGGGGGACCGGGTACAGGCCCTGGAGGCACCGAGACCCTATCGCCTAGGTGGACTCTTTCCCCTGGAAAACACTTACCTGGAAAACTTCGCCTCGGTCATTTCCGCGTTAGTTAGCATCCCCAGGAGGCGCGGGAACAGCCCGACCGCGAGTGTGGAAGTGTCTCGGCTGGGCCCCAGGGGCGCGCTCGGCTGTCCGCACGGTGCCCCGCGCCGCCCCGGGTCCTGTCCGGCTCCGCGGCCGAGGGCAGCCACAAGCACAGGATCCTCTCGGCCGCCGCCTGTCAAACCCTAGGCCTGGCCCCGCCCAGGAGCCCGCCCTCGCGGCCCGATTGGCCTGGGCCGGTGGCCGCGGCGAACCAGGGGCCCGAGCAGCCGTCCGGAGCCGGTCCGGCCCGCCCCAGTGCCGCCCGGCAGGACGCGGCGTCTGCGGGGGCTTCGGCGCCGGAGGAGGCGCGCCGAGCCGAGCCGTGCGCCCCGAGACTGCAGAGCCCCGGAGAGGTGAGAAGGGGCGCGGTCTGCGGCCCGGGGTGGGGGGGGGGGTGGGGGTGGGGGCCCGGGACCCGCAACTGAGGCGGGCGGCACCCGCTCAGAGCCAGTCGAGTTTGGGGTCCCTGGCCCTCGCGCCGGGGCGGAGGACGGGAGAACCGAGGCTGTGGCGGAGATGCCCAGCACGCACGGCTGGAGAGCGTGAGGCTGCGGTCGTCAGTGCCGAAGTCCGAGCGGGTGAATGAACGCGAGCCCGCGAGTGCGCGTTTACCTGGGGTGCGGTGTGCGTGGAAGCCGGCGAGCACTGGCATCTCCCACGCCGAGGAACTGCGCGCACGACTGTGCGTTTCCCCTGACGCGCGTGGGAATGTGTGGCTCGGGGTGCGCGTGATGGGCCCACGCCGTGGGGTGGGCGCCCACCGTCCGACTCCAGTGGAAAAGTTTTGCGGGTCGCCGGTGAGCGGCGGCGGATCCGCGCCCAGGACCTATGAGTGCGCGCAGCCCGGCCTGGAGCGCCGTGGAGTGGACAGCCAGAGAAACCCCGCTCTGGGGATCCTGTCGCCGCCGGTTCCCTGCCGCTCTAGGGGACGCCGGGCAGGCTCTCTCCCCTCAAGGCCTCAGTTTCGCCATTCGTCCAAAGAGGGCTGGTCTCCGAGGAGGTGGATTCGGGCGGGAGGCGGGAACCGAGCCGGCGTCGCTCAGAGCTGAGAACAGGGCGTGTGCGTGGGGCCAGGTAGGTGAAGGTTGCGTAGTTATGGTGCACTATTCTAGCTGGGCCCAGGGTGGTCCCCGGGAAGAGGATCCACCGCCTGTGTTCTAACGCGCCTGTGCTATCTCCCCTCCCCAGGAGCCTGGCGCGACCCCCAGCCGTGCGCCCCGCCCCGGCGCCATGCACTGCGAGGTGGCCGAGGCGCTTTCGGACAAGAGGCCCAAGGAGGCCCCAGCTGCGCCCGGCCCCGGCCGCGGGCCCGCCGGCCTCAGCGCGCACATGGCCTTCAGGGTCACCGCGAGTGGCGGCGGCTGTGGGGACGGGGGCCCTCGGGACCTGCACCCTCGGCTGCCCGTGCCACCGCTGCGCGCCCACGACCACCTCCGGCCCCGGAGTCCGCGAGACTACAGCCAGTCCAAGGCTGCCGCCGCCGCAGCAGCCGGGAAGGGTGAGTCTGGCCCTGCCCACGTGCCTGGCCGCGGGTGTGGGGAGTCTTTCGGCTCCGCCCGCGCCCAAGCCTTTGAAGGGATACTTGGGAACTTTCTTCGAGTTTCTCGATTTCTCTGTCATTGTGTGGGATTCGCTTGTCAAGTATTGAAATGATGCCTGCTTTCGGAAGCATCAAATTTAAACTCAATAAGGATTTTTTTTGGGGTAAGTGTGTATAGAAGGCTCAGATTACATAATTTTGCTTCTGTATGTTTCTGATAAAAGTTGTGTGAACCACCAACATTTTATTGTATCTTGGGGGAGTAGCAACTCCTGGGTCCGGTATCTGTTTTTGAGCAGCTGAGTGCACACTTTGAAGTATTCCAATCTCTTTAAATAACAAAAACCAGGAGGGACCTTTAGCAGGACCCCACCCCTCTTGGGACCTCAGTTTCCCTGTCTGTCAAGGGAAGAATTTATTATACTGGATGATTTCTAGGTTCCGGATGGAGAATTATCTGACTCTATGATGCAGCATGAATCAAGTCATGACTGAAAAATTGGCTTTTCTGTAGTTGGTGTTTCAGAAGCATAGGCTTGGCCAGAAGTCACTTTACAGTGAGTACCTTCTGCTGCCAGTGAGGCTGGAGAAGAGAGGTCGGCCGGCTCTGGTAGGGGCTTGAGCCAGGGATGGCAGTGATGTCCTCACGAAAGTGTTCATCTCATCCAGTTAATTATTATTGAGCCATTATTTATAGGTTTCATGCTGACAGATAATTAACCAGGAATTTGAGAAATTATTAAAGTGCCGTATCTGCCTTCTCCCTTTTCCCCCCTTTGGGAGAAACCAAAGCATTGGGGTTTGGTTATCTCAGCACTTGGGACCGCTTGATTCTCTGTCCAGGTGATTTCCAAGGAAGACAAAAACAGTGTCTCCTCATCAGCCCAGCACCTTAGACAAGGCCAGCTAGCTTCCTGCCCAGTTCTGGCCCTGGTCAAATGAAATAAATGGACGCATGTTTTTGTTTTTGTTTTTAAAGAAAACAACTGACTCTGTAGGAGAGAGATATTTCTTGTCTTCTTTTAAATGTCACTCTCTTACCCAAGACATAAAGACCGTGTTTGAGAAGGACAGATACGGGGAAAGGCCTGCAGAGTGTTTTTGCTGGAATACACATGCAGAGTCTCTCTTCCCAGAGGGAAGTGTCACAAGGCAAGATGCAGTATGAGTGAGGTTTCACTGCTTGCGCTCCCCAGCTTGCCCTGCTCCAGGACGCAGTCCTCCCTTATGGCCATATTCTGCTGCATTCTATTGTGTTTTAAGTTGCAGCTAGCATCTCAGAGAGCATTCTGTTGTCCAAAGATAGCCATTGTTCCATGCTGTGGTCAGAGACTTTTTATTATACATTGTCTTCCATATACCTACTGCCAGTCCGCCAAACCCCAGTTATTTGTGTCTATACCAACCCCCACCCAGTGTCTAAAATAAGAAATCGTCATGTTGGGATGCATTTGCAAAGGGCAGAGGAGGACAAAGGGATGGGAGAAAGAGCTCCTTTATTTGTACCTCTAGCTGGTCTCTGGTTACATTTTCTCCAGGAGGCTGCTAAACTGTTTTTGTTTTTTCCCCCCACAGCCTCCCAGTGACGTTGGTGGGTGGGATTTATTACACACATTTGCAAGATGAGGAAACTGAGGCCCTTGGGTGGGAGAAATGCGTGGTATGTAGAAGGCCACCCAGGGGGTCAGGCGTTGTGAAAGCCAGAGCTCTGGCATAACCTGCCCTCTAGAGAAGGGGAGGTGTGGAGACGGAGCCTCCTTGTCTCTGCAGGCACCTTCCTCCGTAAAGGCAAGCAGCTTGGGAGAAAACCAGCAGGTCTCTGCAGCCCTCTCAGAAATGTTGTTAAGGAAGGGGCACCTTCCTGCTGCGCCTTCTTGCACCACAATAGTTGCCAGGCCACATGACCCTTCAATGTGGTGCCTAGCTCCAAGCTCTCAGGCTTATTGGAAACAGACAGAAATACCGATTGAAACATATTTATTGGCTGTGCTGGAAACGATAAGAACCCCCCTCCCCTTGTGTGGGATGCTGGGAGGAGTAATTTTACTCCTCTGAGCCTCGGGTTCCTCTACTTATGGTAGGTTTACCCTGAGACCAGCTTGGAAAGACTGATGACAGTATTAGTGAGAAAGAATGAGGAAGGACCATCTCAGTGCCTGGTTACTTTAGGATTACTAAATATAATGTGTTTAAGTTTTCAACCTCTGGTTTTTCCATTTGCATGAGAGGTAACAATGCTGACCTCACAGGCTAAATAAAACAAGGGTCGAATGAATGCTTTATAAACAAAAAAGGTAGAAGAGGTCACATTTGTTCATTTGTGCCGGGTTCCATGCTGGGCCAGTGATACTTGCAATAAAGGGGGTGGAAGGGGGAGCAAGGAAGATTTGCCTTTTAAAATGTTGGATGTGAAGGAGACCAGCTCTATGCCATGGGAGTGGAGCATGAGAGGTGCCATCTTCAGATCTTTTGTGGCCACTGCTGCCCAGTGACTTGGTCTGGCTTTTGCCTTGCATAGACCCTAAACAGGGGAAGGGATGACATGCTGCATCCAGCAGTTTATCCATACACGCTGGGGTCCTGTGTGTTTCCAGATCTGGACTGGAAGGCACCGGAGATGGTGCACGTCATGGATGAACATTCTCATCATTTACAATAAGAATCACGATCTGTTTATGGCAGAGTCCCGCTTATCCAGATTCCAAACAGCTGGGAAGGCCAAACCGCCAGATGCTGCATTTTTCTTTCTTATTATTAAACACCCGACGCTGCTTTTGTAAGTCTTGACAGGGGAAGAAGGTGAACATCTGGGCTTCCCGCGGGCTGACAGCTTTGTGGCGATGGCCGATGACGGTTGTTCTCTGCCTAGTGCTTTAGTTTTCAGAGCCTGTTCCCATACGTTCCCTCATCTGGCTCTGCCTATCTTGTGGGCTCTTCCGAGGGAACAGATGGAGCAGCACTTTCTGCCTGTAAAGTGGGGGGCAGATCCTGACTCTTCTGATGTGACTCCCATTTTATAGATGAACACATGGAGGTTCAGGGATTTGCTCAAAGCTACAGGCAGTAAGTGGCAGTTTCTAAGGCTTCTAGCTCCAAATATTTGATTCAGCTTCCACACTTGTACCATCTGCTTGTCTGTGCAGGCAACTCAAAGCTGCTGTTTGCAACCAAGACCTTCTGAATGTTCCCAGAGAATTAAAAACTCTTTATTTTTGCTATTTCTCCTGTCTTGAATCTTTGGAAATTGGTAACTAATCTTTGTGCCCTGTCTAGAAGACTTTGTAGTTAACCAGATGATCCCATTTGTCCAAGCCAGATAATGAGGCCGTTAATTCACATCGACTTTTCTAGGCCCTTTTCACCATGTATCAAGGCTGGATACATCCCAGCAAAAAAGGAGACCGATGATCACCACAAATGTGAACTCTGCTATTACGAAAAACAGCCGCCATAACATGCCTGTAAATGAGAAAAAGTAGTCAATCTTATGCCTTAAAAAATAAAGCTATTTTTTTTTTCTCAAAGAGGAAAAAAAAAGGAAAGCAATTGTAGGTTGTGTGCTGGGTGTCAAGGGCTGGTAGTATTAGGGAACAAGATGTGATGGTTTTGGTGGTGTTACCTGGTCGAGTTTCATCATCTAAATAGGAAGCCACTGTGTTGTTCTGGGGAGGTTTGGAGTGCTAGTGCATCCATAATAGAAAGGTATGAGTTATTTTTAAAGCATTTTCCCCCTCTGGCTCTGGTAGGCAATTTGCTTGCATTTCATCCATTTTAAAGTGCTGGTCCTGTGATCCGGAAATAATCAGATCCAAATTTTTTCAGTGCTTGAGGTTTCAAATAAGGGGGAGAAAAACCTGCTGGCCAAATGTCAGGCTCAGTGAGACAAAGAGAAACAAGTATGTGTGTGGATATACAAATGAGATAGGAACATGTTGCGTCTATAATCCTAAGAGTTATGTATCCGACAAATCTTTTATAGTCATGTAACGGAAATATAATTCCCAAAGATTCCCTGAGAATCTTGTGCGGCTAGAATTTCTCTTCCCTTCCGGCCGCTCAGACTCTGTCGAAGCTGCTGAGACTTGGTGAGTAACACGGGAAGGGAACCATCACATGAAATCACGACTTGACGTAGGCTTTGTCGGTCCCCGTGGTTTACCTGTAGCATACCTAGCTGGCTGAGGTCTTGGGCCCTCCTGGCTATAAGAGGAGCAGTAGGCTGTGTTGCTCTGTCTCGGTAAATTTCTGTATGTGCCACAGTTTAGCCTCACACTTCAAAAAAAAAAAAAAAAAAAACCTCTCAGAGTTATTCATCTCCCTTCGTTTCATTTGCGTGAGAAGCTGTGTGAGCCAGCGCACTTATTTTTACAATGCATTAAAATCCCATTACAGGCATAAGTGCACAATGAATCATTTAAAAAATATATTCTTATGTTCTTTGTTCTGAATGTTGCATAATTATCATCATTTTCTTTGGTTTTATTTTGTGGAGTTTGGCCATCATCCTAGAAGAGAGGAGAAACTAAAGTTCAAAATAGGGTTTTTAAATCCTTTTTTGGGTAGGATTAGAAAAAAACCAAAAACAACAACAAACAAATAAGCTTTATTTGGAAGCTGACCAGTGGCTATCACTAACTAACTGGCTTTTGCATAAAGAAGGTAATTTTCCTTCCTTCATTCACTTTTCTTGCTACAGAATTCCCTGTGTTGAAGCCGATACGGTGTTATTTCAACAACCTCACCTTACGTGTGTGGTTATAGTCAAAGTTAAATAACCATGTGTGGTTTGCTATTTTTTTTTTCACCTAATACAGATTTCAGTTGCAATTAGACTTAGAGAGTTGTGTTGTGTCTTTTGGTAGGAGGCAGTTTGTGTGTTTAAAGAAACAAAGACATTCATTTCCAGGGGGAGAAAAAATGACAAACTGCAGTGGGCTTTGAAAAATTCAAAAAGCAAG